GTACAACATCGACGTGCACTGAGCAATGATTGCATAAACCCTACGAGTACGAAAAGTCAGTTCCCCAAAATAACATAAAATTTTGACAGCGACTCTCGACCGAACATCCTTCTTCCCAATTCTTATTTTCTCCTCGAGAGTTATAGCACGCCTCGTTCGCGGAATGCATACGTGGAGAGTTCCGCAGCGTTCGTTCAATTTGCTATAAAAATTGTCTCCCCGCCGAATCAAAAATCTCTGGCAACTTAAAGTTACGCCGAAAGTTTCGCATCGAACCGCGGTATCCACCGTTCGAGTCTGCACGCTGGAACTTTTCGGTTTCCTCTTAATACACGGTCCCTCTCCCCACTCTTTCTCTTCAAAAGAAGTCTCCGAGGAAAAAATCTGAGATCTCAGCATATTCTGTCAGAATCAGTCGAGAGATCAGGATTCTCTTTGAAACAGGTATCCCCTTATTCGTTCCAACGAAAACGTCGATGGAAATGGGAAGTAGTATCTTCCAGCGGGCGAGGGATGAAAAAAGAGAGTAGAAGAGGGAGAAAGGTCGAGGGAATCGCAAAGAGAGAAGGAGAGAAACGCGAGTGGAAAATGAGGAGAAGCAGGGAAAATAAAGGAACGCGTAAGGGGATAAGTTTATCTGCGCTGGCAGAAGCGGCTCTCCACTTCGATTTTGCGCTAGTCGCTAAGTTACCCGATCTGCTCTCCATTGTCTAGTGATACCTTTGCTATACCTGGCTAAGGATTTTCTTAGGTACACCAGTCGCCGGGCGTGTTCCAGAGCTGGAAGAAAGACGAGGGAGGAGGGAGCTTACGCCGTTGAAACTTTCCCAACAAGCCCCGACTCCCGCCATTCGCGGGGGTGTTACGAAACTCGTATATTTGCGAAATGATCCTGGCCGCTACTTCCGCGTGACTCTTGTTACTTCAACGAGGAAACAATGCTACGCTCTGTTTATATGCTCCCCGATACGACGGCGCATTCGCCAGTAGAGTAAACACGTGTTCCCGAAGGCTGTGTTTCGATCGATTCAGCGCACACGCGATTGTCGCGAAACAGATGTCTCCGTTCGTCCAGGTGGCGAAACGTTTGCACAATCTGAAACAAACGCGCTAGACATTCTTTTAACGTACGATTGCTTTATTGAATTACTCTTCGCGATATATACAGTGAAATCCTTCTCTGGACGGTAGCAGGTGGTCCTTACAGAGTTTGGTGTACTGAAACCGTAAGATCACCAGTCTTTCAAACGTTCAGATAAGGATGAACACTTTTCGTCGTTTTAAGAATCAACGTAGCCATTAGTGAACTAAGTATCGCTCTGATCTGTGCACCAAAGTTTTCAGGACACTTCTTACTTTTAAAAAGTAAAGTTTTCACCACGAAGATGACTTTTATTCCCTGACCTGTTTAAAACTACAGCAAAACAAACTGGAGCCCCAGCGATCGAAACGAATGATTTATTAAAATGTCTAGTGAAACGTCACCTTTCGAATGACAAGTGATATATGTGTGCACGTAGTTGGCAAGGAATCAGAAGGGCAATGATACCAAGCCGGGAAAACGGGTCGAATGTATCATACATACATAGATACGTTATAACTGAATAGAAGGTTAAATCGAATCAAAGCATACATGGTTCGTTGTTCTTGTTGTTTTTCCATCTTCGTGTTAATTAATTACAATCGCTGAGAGACAATACAATTGATATTGCGGCGGATTCGTTCGTCTTTGTATTCGTTTATAAATAAACTTTATAGGAATACTTTGTAATAAACACAACCGTTGGAAATTGTGTAATGTTTAATTAGTAAGTTAATTAATACACAATACGCTTTATTCGGAAAACTGGTTACTTGCTCCATGTACTCTTCGTACAGAAATAAAATTAACTTTTGCGTGTGCAGACGATGTACGTGTATCAGAAACGTTTCGATTTGAAATAATAGCGTGTAATTACCATGGTATAATAATAATCACAGCACTATGTGTAATGCCGAATTCACGAATATTTCTTTAAAGCATCGTCATTGCACGCGAAGTATGTAAGTGGCGAAGGAAATTGGTGGAGTTTGTTTTACGAACCGTGGCATCCACAAGCGACGTGTTTTTAGCAAGGCGGCATGACGTGGCTACGTGTAAGCTCATCGAAACTTGAAGTGTTCTTTCATGTTTTACGAGACAGAAAACAACTTAGGTACTTAAGTGGTAATTTGTCAAAGGGAGCACGAACGAGCCAGAACAAACTGTACGAGTCGAAACTTAATGACAACGTTCCCGGAACATCCGACATACAAATTGTCGAAGCTTTGCGTCTGAAATAGGGATGAAACGTCTAATGTTTTCCTGTAGTTGGAAGGATTTAATTAAGTGAATATGATTGCTTGCGTTGAATGGCCACAATTCAATGCAAACTTCTTTCTATTAACATATTTTTGTAAGTACTGATTTAAGTTGGGACACATACGTCGATAAAGGACTTAGACTTCAATATTCTTAATTATGCAATAGTTAGGGTTACAGTAGTATATCATAATCTCTATCGCTGAAAATAATAACACATGGCAAACAATGTTTTATACTTCCAGGACACGATAGTTCTGCGATATCATGTGGTAAACAATATTTATTGTTTGCAGCAACGCACCTACACGAGTGTCGCCTCGTAAACTGATAAAGTTACGATATGTCAGTCACGAAAAATTGCTTTCACGATACCAATCGTCACGTAAAATGCACGTTACATTTTTAGGTGATCACGCATCTGTCTGTGTACGCTGACACAAACACTCGATGCATATATAAATCCGAGTTGCAAGCCTGTGTACATGTTGATATTAAATACGTCAAGAAACAACTCCGAAAAAACATGTCTCAACTAATCTGTCTCTTCCTTGCCTTGACAACAATTATTTTAATGTCGGGATTTTTCGTGGCACCTGTCGAAGGGAGAGTAAGTAAAGTATTTGGCTTCGATTCTCTCGTTAAAATTTATTAATTTATTGGTATTTGAAGATTTCGAGCACAATATTTTAACTCGTGCAATTTATGTTTCCTTATATTTAGATTTATATTTAGTGTCCTCCTGCACTCGCTGACTGCAAGCATTTGTTTTCTACGATAATCTGCAAGGTATAAGAAAATAATTCTATAGCTCTAGATTTTGTTGGTAAGAGGATAAATGGTGAATATGCTTTATGTTTTTAGGATATATGCCAGGGGAAAGAAATGAAGTAAAGGAAATTGATTTGAATCTGGATGAAAACTTTGGATGCAGCTGTTTCTGTTACTATCATGTAACCGGAGATTGGAAATCAATAATACATTATACTTTATGAACAAATTATTTCCTTGAAATTTACGAATAAATTACCTTTCTTGAAATGTTAATATTGAAGGTTTGGTTTTGTAGCTAACGAAATGTTACGTGAAATTATTTGAAGGTTAAAACAACTGTTGGAAAATGATTTACCCAAATATCCACGTAATTATACTACCAACGTATTAACGTTTACATCTCCGTAACGAAGTGAATATAAGCCTCATTATTGATGAAGTAAGAATTTTCCAATAGAGCGATACGTAATCGGATTTTGTCGATCGTGAATGTTCGTTAAATAATTACGGAAAATCCGTAGGATTAAGTACACGTTTTCAAATATGACAATTTGCTACTCAAACAGAACATGAAATCAATAGCTTGATGTTGAGACATAAAATAAACAGCTTATAGTAATATCAGATTTGTACCATTTATTACAATATCACAATACGTGAGCCAGGAAATCACAGTTTTATAACTAATAATTATCTAGTAAAGTACACGTTACACTTTTAAACGTTCTCATATCAATTTACGAATGTGGTGACCTCGAATAGCGTTGCATATAAAATATGGAAGCGCAAGTACATGTTGAGTTTAAGAATTCAGCACAAGGAATCATGAATCAAAGCATGAAATTTGTTCTTTTATTTTTTGTTATCTTCGTGTCCATATTCTTTGTGACACCCTCGCTAGGGATGGTAAACTATCAGTATTTTAAATTTTTATAGAAGACTACGATTGTTTTTATTGAGATTTTAAAATTTTACAGAGTACCGTTAATTTTAAACTGTTAAGAGCACACATTTTACCTAACATTAATTTTTTAAAACAGAAAAATCTGTATCTAACAAATCTCATGTTACATTACTTTTCAAGGATTCTCCACGATGCCCCACATTTGATACATCATTTTGCGGCTCGCCCTTGATGGAAGAAGTTTGTCCGGTACTATTATAATTATTTAACATTGTTAACAGTATTACTTAACCATAGTGCAGCTAGATGCCATACACATCTAGGTACACTCACAATTATAAGATATAGAAGTATAATACTCAATTTCTTTTTGTTTATTAGGACATGTGTCGCAGAGTGCTGAGTCGAAGGGGGAAATAAATTATAAATTCGTAGCACAACTGATCAGCAAGCTGATGCACGATATCATTTGAATAGTTTATTTTTATCGATATTGTAATACATTTCTATTTGGGAAATAAAGTATGATGAATTATTGATACGTTACATTATTTAACCATCAACACGTTCATATTGTTTGCACCACTTTAACATTTAAATGTAGTCATGATTTTCAATGACAAAGTTTTAAATATTCACAAGGGAATACATGTAAATCCATAAATTTGTTAGAGATACCATTTTTCCATTAAAAAATGTAACGAATAATTTTGGTTTGTTTAATGCAGAATATTATTTAATAAATGATCCCCTTTAGCTACCAATCAAAATTATAATCATAATCTTACCGCACTTTTAATGCAAAAAGTTGATGACTCATTCGTGATTCTTGTGACTCCACAAATTGATAAGCTTCCATCACGCCAGTCACGAGAAATCGATTTTACTGCTAGAATTCATACATGAAATGTGTTTCGTATTTCCTAGTGTTCATAAATCATTTCAACGTGACAGAACCACGAATTCCTGTTGGATATAAAAGATGAAAATGCGAGGATATGTTAACATTAAACGCATCTAGAACTCGACGCGAGGAAACATGAATCAAAGTGTTAAGTTCCTTCTCGTACTTTTTTCTCTTATTTTCGTGTCGGGGTACATTGTGACTCCTGCTGAAGCGGTAAGAAATAAATTTTATTTAATTTCTTCGATTGTTATGATGAAGTTTCTCTATCCAGTATCATTGATCAATTTTTTTCACACCACTTTTTCAAGGATCCATCAAAATGTGGCGTTTTCTATAAAAAAAGATGTCGCTTTCCGGAAATAAGAGCCATGTGTGGGGTACGATTATGATTACTATATATAATATTTCGTATAACGAAACCGTCTCTATGGTATTACTATTCCATTGTCTGTAGAAATAATTTAATAATCATGATTATTTTTTCTAAATTGATAGAATCTATGCAACGGAAGATAGAAAACATTGATTGCATAATGGACGACGTCTACATCCTGAACCGAAGTATTGAGTTTATTTGTATACAATTACTTACAAACATGTAACTGAATACCAACAGTAAATAAAGTGTGAAAATTATTTAAAGCTGTAAGTTTCTTACCTTTATACCTCAATGGCGAGTGATTTGTCCTAATAATACAGAAATATACCTTTATTCTACTTTAAAACAACCTTACTTTTATTAAAAATGTTTAGTCGACATATTAAAATAATTTTGAGAAGAGCAATGATAGGAAATGTCAATGTAATTATGTTATTAATGTATTATAGTTTGTTAAATCGTGCATAAACCTAGGATTTGTTTGGTAAAATCATAAAATTTTAAATGTGCACATAATCCGCCTACCACAACAGACGGTTTTTGTATATAAGAAGGGAAAAAGCAAGCACCAGGGCACGTTCACATATTAATACGCTGAAAATTCATTAAGAGAATCATGCAGGACGAAGTCAAGTTTCTTGTATTATTCTTATATCTTGTTTTGATGACCGGATATTTTGTGATTCTGGTTGGAGCGGTGAGCAGCATAATTTCATCCATTCTTTTTTCTAATCTAGAAATTAAACGTTTATTTTCTGTTTAATTTTTAAAAGGACCCACCAGATTGCGATGATATGGACCAAATGCTTTGTAGTCATGCGGATATTCGTCAGATGTGTATGGTACTGTCATGTTTCATCAACTCTGTAAATTCAAAATACTGTTCGTAATGGAAAAATTGCATTCATTTTTTACCTTCTTTTTCAGAGTACATGTCAGCTTTAAATTTCTGGTATACTAATGATGAAAATTTTGGATTTATCAATTCCATAAAATGTGGAGAATGTAACAAAAATGGCGAAATAAAATGATTTGCATTATAAGTATATCGTTATTTTTCTTAATTAGTTGTAGAATGTACAAAATTTTTTTTTAATAAAATTAATACCTTAACCGTACCTAAGATTAAGCTCACCTAACAAAATATACAAAAATAGCGATGGTCTTGTCATTTTTTTCAATCTTAAAACACGGTCACGAAAAACTGAACTTACAGTTAAAATTGGTCACGAGAAATACATAATACGTTTATAAACATGTTTATACCTATCGACACGTGTCATAACTTGGAATAGTTTTTGCATATAAAAGGGGGATGTTCGAATAGAAATTCATAGTAATTCCGTGAAAGATTCAGTAAGAATAATCATGAATCAAAAAATTAGTTTTCTTCTTGTTTTGGTCTCTCTCATTTTGATGTCTGGATTTTTCATGACATCTGTGACAGCGGTATGCTAAAAATCTTCTTTCAATAGTTTTATATTTTTTAATCAATACGCGAAGTATCATTGATCTGCGATAAATTAACTTACTTGTAATGGTTATTCGTTTATTTAAAGGAACCAGTCACATGCAGATTTCCATGTAAACGTGGGAAATATCGTGGCCAGTGCAGGGTACTGTATTTACCATTTCATTTTGACTATTCGTGAAGTTGAAATTCATAATGTAATTATTGTGCTCATTTTTATTTCATTTTTCAGAAGCAATGTCCGTAAAGCGAATTTCACTTTCTGGAAACTACGTCGGCCCTACAATGTGGATTTATGATTCAACGATTTTAATGATTATGAAAAATGCAATCACGTGTGAAGAAAAATAGATAGTAGCCTTTTTAATAGAGAAAAGTAAAATGCCCTAATGTTTCAAGATAGTCACGAAAAACTATTTGCAACTATAATTTGTTACGAAGGAAACATAATACTTTTCTCAATGTATGTAAAGATTTTGGACTTAATCATTCTCTAATTAGTGTGAAAAGTGTAATTAAATGGGAAATAAAATACAATTTTTTGCATTACTTTAATATTTGTATATTTATGTTAATATTCTACCATATCAGTAGCTTGAAACAATTTGTCACGTAGAAAACATATTTCTAAACGTGTACACAATCAGTATATAAAAATTCTAAATGTGCGTGTAATCTGGTTATATGTGTCATAACTTCGAATGGCACTTGTATATAAAAAAAGAAGAGCAAACACAGATAGATGTTCACAGTGTACGTGCTGAAAATTCAATACGAGAATCATGAAGAAAGACGTCAAGTTTCTTCTAATATTTCTATCTCTCATTTCAATGTTGGGATTATTCATGAAACCCGTGACAGGAGTAAGTGTACACGTTTATTTTCTTTCTTTTATAAACAATTAAAATGTGTTTCTACCCAACACGTTAATTCACTTACTGTTTGTAACTTGAATTTTTAAAGGAACTAAAGCAATGTAGATTTTCTTCTAAAAGCCGCTGTAGTGACCCGAATTTCCGTAACATGTGCAAGGTACTTTTTAACTCTGATGATATAATCGTATGGTGTATTAATATAATTTTTATGCTTATTCAAATCTATTTTTTAGAGAAAATGCTCATAAAGGAAATGAACTCGATTTTCTGACAAACGATGACGACTTTGGAATTAATCATTTTAATTATTAAAAACAATGTAATTAAATGTGAAAATAAATAAAATTCTATGCATTACCTAAACATTTTTATATTTACGGATATTTCAAATATACCATCACCCTAAGCATTTCTATAAAAATTTCAATTATCGAAGCACGTCACAAGAATCACGAATGATCTTAACTAACAAAATGAGCAAAAAAGACGGTAATCTTCTTACCTTGTAAGAATATGTATCACGACTGTCACGAAAACCTGCACGTATCGCTGAAATTTGTCACGGAGCATACATATTACGCACCTAAATGATCGCGTAACTACCTGTTCGTGCCATAACATCGATTAGTTTTTGTATATAAAAATCTGAACGACAAATGCAGCTGCATGTTTATAACAAACACGCTGAGGAGTCGATACGAGGAATCATGAGTCAAACAATTAGCCTTCTTCTCGTCTTTGTTTCTCTTATTTTGATGTCAGGATTTTTCATGACATCAGTAACAGCGGTAAGATAAACATTTACTTTAATTTCTTCCACATATTAAAACTGTTTCGCGTGTAAAGTCATTGATGTATAATTTTATCCACTATTGTTTCTTTTGGTTCGACATTTTAAAGGAACCTCCAGCTTGCAATAATTTACCAAAGAAACTTTGCAGCAGCATGAAATACCGTAACATGTGTAAGGTACTGTCAAGCAGATTCGATGTTATTAACTCACATAACTGCAATTTATAATGTAATGACAATGTCCGAATGAATTTTGTTTTTTAGAGCAAGTGTTGATAATGGATTTTGGTCTCTGACAGACAACGGCAGCACCACGACGAATATTTTGACGTAAACCACTTTGATTCCCGTTGAAAATACCATAAATGTGAAATACATAAAATTCTACGTATTTGGTTATTTTCAATAACAAATAAATGTAATGCAATTACTGTAATCTTCTTCATTTTCTTCTTCTCATCGATGGTTACAAATTATTATCTTTGGAAATTGTCTGTATACTGTTGAATAATTTACGGTCATACAATCTGAACGCAATTTCTTGACGTTGTTTCTTAATTCTCTGCAAACCGGTTACTCTCATTTCGTAAGATGATTCGCTTCAGGTTTAACCTGATTCAAGTAAAATAGGTTAAGTTTTCATCCTTGCATTTTGTCAATTTCCTCGTTATTCATAACATTCAAGGATAGTGTTCTTGAAATTGTGGAGTTTACGGTGACTTTGAAATTAACACATCCTAGAGACATATAAAAATCAGATTTAAATAGAATCCTGGACAATGTAAACGTTCGTCATTGAAAATGGTTTTCAACTCTTAAATATTCTGAAATTGCGTTTTCTAAATTATAAATGGAAACCTGATACACATATATCGAGCGTTACACCTCTCGATTCTGTAAAATCCAATTAATATTACAAGCGTCTATTATCCTCCAAACATCCACACTGATCGGTCGATGTTAACTTCACCGTATCACGGCTAAAATTAGGTATTCATCTCCCGTGAACATATCAATGTTTCATTTCTCTTCCCCGTCGACCCGCTTTACCTTAGTTTACAGCGCTTCGGAGAGTTCAGAGCGCAGCGACCGACTTTCCGTCGCACGATACGGCAAATCGCAACACGGAATAAGGAAGATTACAAGCTGCATCGGTACGCGCCTAACATCTGGCTTAGTTTCCCGCTATATTACTTCTGTTTCCTTGGAAAACGCAGACGTAGGACGCAGGAACGCGAGGCAGCGTAGCTCGCTTGTGGGGGAGGTTAAAGATTTTCATGAATATTCTTTGGGTTACATTAATGCGCTTTATAAATATGTATTAAACCCGCGGATTTTACTATCTCCGACAAATTAAGCTTTCCAGCTGCCTTATCCCTTCCCGCCCCACCAGGCCGGGGCGTTACCGCCAGGGGAAGATGCAATTGGAATAGTAATTTCGAACCGCGATCTCCGTCGCAACGTTTCGCGTCGCGTCGCACCGCGACGCGGGCGTTTAATATTCTACACAATGAATTTATATTTTCTATTATATGCCGGAGGATCGGGGATTACGGCGTTGCCATGATTTCGGTCGGATTAAAGTGTTCGGACAGAGGGCTCGTTTTATCCACGCACGAGAAGCGTTGAGTTTACAAAAAATACTGGACGGGTGCAGCGCGCGAAGCGAAAACAGACTGGAATTAAACATTTGCAGCGTCTGAAACTTTGAAATGAGTAATAATAAGTCATTTAAATATTTGAGAAACGGTGATCTCATTCGTTGGTAAGAATTTGTAAAATGAATGCTCGTTTGTCTTGTATCAGAAGTGACGTTTGTAAATGTTCATTCAGTGCACTGATGGTTCTTCGAGATCGCGTCAAATGGTAACAGGCACGTGATTTTTCGTTCGTTCCGGGTATCACTTTTTCTCCGAAGTTATTTTTAAAATATACAATGGATTCGTGTATAGACGCGCCGTGGAATATAAAACACGTATTTTTGGTGCATACGGGCGTCCATCAACAGGGTGACAAAAGAATGGCGACAATAATATATTCCACGTATATTCACGTTGTCACGTGTTCTCGTGACAAAACATTGTAAAGTGACACTGGTAATCTTTACTGTTCGAAATTGCTCATTGTTGGCGGGATTTTTCATTATGCAATGCAGACACAGATACGATTATAGCACTTTGTAGTTTATATAACAATTTTCAACTAATCTTCACAGTTTGTATTACATATCATGTAGCGCATTTGCATATTATAAAATACATAGGTATACGTCGAACTAAACGTAAGTAAAAAAAAAATTTCCACGTTATTTTCTCGCAAACAATAACAAAGAATAAAAATTTATGATCAGTCGAAGTTCTCATATATTTATACATTCATTGTTCCACATGAAATTTATCGCTCTATGAAATATTAAATCAAACACATTTCAGTCACGAACAGTTCTAAAGTTTGAATAGTCACGATGATGGTTATATAAATATCGACTACTTACATACAATAAGCAAAGTGAATTAGTATTAAAGTAGTCGCAAATTCGCAAAGCAACATGTATCAAGGTCCTAAGCTCTCTTTCATACTACTTTCAATTCTTGTAGTGACAGGTTGGCTTCTGTTGCCTGCTGAAGCGGTGAGATGAACATTTGATTCTGTTCTCCAATTAAAATTTGTTAATTTATTCATACTTCCTATTTTTTGTACAGTATATAATCGATGCGCCCCTTAGAAAAAAAGGTACTGTCACAACTATTTAAAATCCACAACTCCATTAGTTATTCGTTAGTATATATAGTATAATATAAATGATTGATGTTCTAAATACATATAGGGAGAAGATAAAGAAGGAGATGCAAACTCGTCATAATGCGTAATAAATTTCAGTCAGCATGGACAAGCGTTAACACAAAATAAAGAACACATTTGTAAAACATACACCTTTTCTTTCCTGTGTTAATTCACATACATTGTTATCAATATAACGTTCTCAACAAAATTGCGATTCATGCTAACACGTTTCCATCAAGTATTCGCTAAGCTTCATTTGCTTATCGTCGTTTACAATTTGTGGAAGTCATACATTATAAGGACGAAGTAAACGCCGTGATATAACACCGTAAATAACATTACTTTAGTACTCCTAATCTTATCCTGTTTACGACTTTACAAGTTGGTATTATATCTTACCACGCGTCAGTCACGAAAGAATATTTTTGTTACCAGAATTGGTGCATAAAATTCACGTGAAGTCACTAAGTGCACACGAATCCATTTGTACACGTCACAGCCACGAACACTGGCGGTGTTTTAAAAGTTACAGGGTGAGCGAATGTGAATATCAAACGTGTTCAGAATTCGATACAAAATAACATGTATCATGCAGTGAGGCTGTTCAACTTGTACCGCTTATATTAATGTCGGGGAAGTGGTGAACGACGAATTTATTTCTCCTGGCTAGAATCCTGAGTTTCATTAATGTTACGACCCTTCTGGATGCTATGTGTTCGCTATATTCTATCATTTTTTGCAGAGTGAAATTTAAGTTGCAACCATCGAAGTATATTAACTTCATTAATTCATCGTACTTCCCTTTGCTCATTAGCTACGGTACTTCTCCCTTGGGAAATGAATTTAAACCCATGGCGATATCGAAGGACTATTTTAACTTTAATCATTATCCAACTTCTATTGACTTTCTTAACCCCATCAGAAAATATTATGCATTTTCAGAACGTTTTTGTAATAAATTGTACGCGCTGAATTATGTAGTATAGTTTACATGAAATGGGAGAAACAATCTAGTTGCCTTACAATCTAGGAAAATGATATACGTAGTCACGGTACTAAAATGAGGCTTATCATTTTCGTATGCCGCATGATAAATGAATCGTTCTAAAATATTTAACATTTCATAAATTTACATGCACGCGATACACAAATGTTGATAAATAAATTCCGCGATTTTTACACGCGACGTGAAATGTTCCACGTCGGTATCACGTTCACCGTGGGCGCGTCGACGACAATTTTCGTTGTCGAGTACACGAAGTATCCGAATTGCAAATTTTATCATTGGAAATCCAATAAATTCTGCGTCCAAGCGTCGTCGCTTCTGTTCGTATAAATAATTTTAATGAAACTCCCTCTGTATTTTTACGTAACAATGTAAACCATGTATTATCCGGATATAACATAATAAACTTATAACAAATCAATTGTCGTTTGTTTATTTAATGAACATCTATATTAACTTTGATTTATTCAACTAATAAAGCATATGAGCAGAGAGCTTTCAACGGTATCTCCAGAAATAAATATCAGCGTAATTACATTAATTTATCTGTCTTTGTTAATACATTGTAAAATTACTTTTAATAAATAATACGTGTACGCTCTACGTCCTGTACCGTAATATTTCATATTAATATGTATTGCATTTTAATACAATAGAACGAATACAGTTGTATGGATTCATTTTAACAGAGAAGAACTAACGTCATACCAGATGGCCTTAAAAATTGTGGCCAAAATGTTTAGCTTCAAATTTTGAAACAGAACTATCCGTATGTACTTAGCGACCGGTATAAATCGTTTCTATTCACGACATTACAGCAATATTCCATTTCACGTCCTATGGACTCAAAGCAACTAGCAATGGCCATTTCGACATATTAGTATGCCGTTGGCATTCATTGATGCTAAAAGGTGGTTCGGTTGGTTTGCCTAAATGCAGCACTTATACGTTCATTTTGTGCACAATATCATTACTGTACACCCAGTTATGCGGTCTAACATATCCGGGAGATATCCATGCGCGAAACACTATTGTGTAACACATAAACTAAGATACAGTGGACCAACTAAACCATTCCAGATACAGAGCAGTTTATAGAGGAAGGTTCTCGTTATAATAGAACGAAAGTCTTGTATGTTATTACTAAGTATTTGTCCTATTTTATTTTATTGGCGGTAAGGAAGATGCAGGTGATACAATTTGGAATAATACATGATGGGTACACCGATTGCACGGGGGAGTGGAGAGGAAATCAATCCTCTGAATTCTTTGTCTGAAACTTCTTCAAACTTCGCATTTAAATAAAACGCCTCACCCAACATGCACTGTTTTTAATTAAACAGATCAGGACATGCAACGCCATCGTAACGTAAATTAATTAAATAGCAAACTAATTTCATGAGGCACTTCTATATTTCTTGTATGAAAGGTGTTCTGAAATATATATCATCAATGTGCTAAGAATTTTTTTATTAAATATGTTGACAGTCTTCAAAGCATTTATTAAATTTTTCTACACTAAGTTGATATTGGATTGACGTTGAAATTTTGACGAAAGGAATCCTTGTTCCTTCCACATCCAAACTTCTGAACTCCGCGCAGCATGTATAGGTTATCGGTGATCGACCAGGTGATACGCGCAACGTAAGAGTCTCGCGAGAAAAAGCACGGGTAAAGTTTTTACCTTGAAAACCAATTAAAGCAATATAAAGTTCTGAGCTATGTGCTGTCGGGGTGAAGTCGACGCCACGGTTGGAAGTAACTTGCAAGTGAAGTGATGCTGGGATCGATGGTTCGAGGACGAGTTTACAGAAGTTCGAGTGACATAATCGAATGAAATAACTGACAACCAGAGCGAATTAACAACTTTTTCAACATTTAGTTTTGCGCCGGGCTCCCATTGCGTTGGACGTTGCCGAGGGTTGAGAATTTAATCTTAATTTACATTCACTGTATTCCTTCAACGATAAACCGTGGTTGATTGAAAACGAATGGTCTTCGAGCGTGGCCCGTTTGGTATTGAACGATAATTAATTGGATCGGTAATTAACGTATTCCTTTTTCCGTTCTTTCTGCGATTGTTTTTCCCGAACGGGACAGACAACGACGACCTTCAAGATGTTTCCCCGTTTTCGATTGAAATAATGATTTCCCGAAGTTTTATGAAGATTAAGTAGGAATTAAGGGGTCATATATAAAGGGCGGTTCGCTAAATCGCGATAAATCTTCGTTATAAACTTTTACTTGACTTCAGCTCGCTAATGAAGGGTCATTATCCGGTGGATTCATCCGGTAAAATGAAATTTTCATAATTAAAGTGGGTACATTACGGGGTATAAAAACCGGCGAAAGTTGCATCTGAAAAATTCAGCTCGTTAAACAAATAAAATAATTCAAACTGAAGGGAGAGAAAGAGCGAACGTGGCAAAAATAAAAAGTTGACGGTGCCGTGTTTACTCTTTCATAAAGCGTGGGAATGAAAGATTCGAGGCTAATGCTTGGAAACAAATTTTACGGTAACTGTTAATAGATAGAGGAGCGAATCTCAAATTCTGTACCTTCTGGAACATTTTCGCACTACCACTCCTTCCTTCGGCTACGTGTTGGTACTATTGAATCGTAATACGTGAAATGTTTGCATTCTTACATTGAATCACGGCCGTTTGCTATTTTTAATGAAATTCATTTTTAACGAGTGCAAGCATTAAATACGTATCTCGGGAAATGTTCGTCAAGCGAGGGCATATATTGCTTTTTTTTTCATTTCTATAAACACTTTTATGATTATTATATATTGAAATATTTATTCAAGTTTGTCAGAAATGTCAGAAATGCATTTATGAATTTATAAATGGTTAATATTGGCAATTTAGACCAGGACCGAAATGTAGGAAGTATTTAAGTATTAAATATCTATCCTCTTCGACTGCTTGTATTACTGCTCATGATGTCGACCAATTGAAACCAATTAACATCGAATTCTTTTTCGTATTTTCAAGTAACTCTGCAGGAGTCAAATTTTTACATTCAGCCCGATTTTTCCCAGACACAGAGGGAGTTTAAAAGCCGAGGACTACGTCAGCGTGGCAGTCGACTATAGCGAATGGTTCCATTTATCGATCCTCGTTCAATGCCAGCAAACGTTAATTTCATTATAACGAAATAATGGAAAAAGAAAATGTAACGGCGAAAAACGCTGCGACAAAATCGCAGCATCGTTAAATTTCGTGTAATGCTGTTAACCCGGGCCTCCGATGAATTTTTTTTTCCGATGGTGTGTATGCGGCACGTTTTAAACGCGTTTCTCTTTCCTGGTGCGAACGGAATATCCATTACCAAAAACGAGTGCGGAACCCGTTGTCCGGTGAATAATATACCGCTTTAAATGGCGCTACAAACGATGACGAAGATATTCGAATCAGAAGAGCTTAAATAATTGCGCGCTAACGCAAAATTCATGTAATTATTAAATGAAAACGTTTCGCGTTCAATTATTGTGCTACGCCGAACATACCTTTATAGTCGAGTCAGAAATTCATATTATTCATACTTGGAAAGCTAGAAGGATTGCCACTGATTGGAATTCAGATTCAATGATTAGAATTTTTGAAAATGTTGATTACCGTGGTTCTAGATGAAACTGATGATTAATAACATTTCCGTGGGCATGAACGTCACGCATAGCAACACACACTAATTCAAATGGAATGCGAGAAAGCTGATAAACGTTTCACTGATATAAAGACTCTATACACATATTCATGAAGCTAGTATCATTATAGTAGCCTACAGGCAACCTACACTTAATAGATGAGATAAATAATACCATTACAGTATTTTTAATTATTGTGCAATTACTTATTTCGAATAACCAACAATTACTCGGTAATATCGCGAACACCAGGAACGATCCTTGTATTATTTTGCATTTTCTTTATTGTGCGAAGTAATGTTGTATGCTTAATAAATATGTGCCACTGCATATACGTCAGTTAAATTACAGTGCATCTCTCTAATGAAACTTCTCATTCGATACAAGAGCAGAAGAAGAGCAGAAGATTTTATTTATCGTCTCGTGGCCCCGTGCAGCGGGTTAGGTTCTTAATGATACTTTTCCAGCTCAGCGAAACGCAATTATAATGGGAACGAACTTTCCATCCACTTTGTACATCTCGAGTGTATAGTTAAAATTACAACGGGGATCGATTTCTCGTCGTGGTACCGCGGCAACCGGAATGAAATTATTTAATTATCGAGAAAAATTGCTCCTTGAAAACCAACGAGTTCTTTCCCGACGGCTTAATAATCGAGCCAAATTTAATATCACGTACCCCGCTCTCGGTCTGATAAAGATCAG